ATTGATTTTTAAATCAGTAACATTATATTATTATTATTATTATTATTATTATTATTATTATTATTATTATTATGAAATAATTAATTTGTTATTATTATGATTTTTAGTTAATTCCTGAAATAATAATTGCTTTTGTATTTCTTTTAGTTTAAAAATAATGGATAATTGAAAGTTTATAATTTAACTTTAACCAAATGAAATATTTATTGGAGAATAATAATAGTATTAATTATAATTACTTATAATAAAAATAATGTAAATAAGTAGCACTAATTATATATTTATAAAATAATCAATATGAATTAATATTAATATAAAATGGTTTTATCCCGATTGATAATTAATTATCATTAATTAATTAACATTCCAAAGTAATAATTATCATTGTTTTAATTAAGTAATTAATTATCAGTAAATAATTATAATCAATAATTATATTTTATCAGGAATCATTATTATTAGTAATAATTAATTATAATTATTGATAATAATAATAATATAAATATATAGTTATATTAAGTAATATAAGCATTAATTATAATTACTAATAATAATAACATACTTAATTATTTCATATAAATGTATGATTTATAATTTCTGATAATAATTCTAATATAAATAATTAACATTAAATATTTATTTTCAAAATAATTAATATGAGTTAATATAAATATAAAATGATTATTTTCGAATTATTAATTACCATTATGAAAATCATTATTAATTATCATTCCGAATTAATAATGAGAAATATTATCAGTAATTAAGTATTAGCTGTAATTATTATCAGTAATTAATTAATATTAGTTAGTTATTATTATTAGTAATTAATAGCTGAAATTAATTAATTACAGGTCATTAATTATTATTAGTACTCCTCTCTTTCAAAAAGTTAACTCATCATTATCATCGTCATCATCAATGACAACAACTTGATGACTACATAATTTGATAAAAATAGTTAAATAACATTAATTTATTTTTTATCTTTTGAAAAACTGAATAAGAGAAAAATAAAATGGTTAGCRTTGCAAATGAAAAATTATTTGGATTTTTGCAAAAAACATTATTGAACATAAAAAACCAATTATTCAAAAATAAGGTCGTTAATCAAAGAGTATTTAAAATTATTAATTAATTATCTATCCAAATTAAAATGGGTAATTTCAGCAAATAATTTTAAGTAATTAAAATTTTCTATTGACACTTTTTAATAATAATCAGTATTATTAATAGATTAATAATATATTAATAATTATGAATTAAGTTATAATTATAAGTATATTATTTTTATTATTAACTAATAATATATTCTTATTATGTGTGTACTGATTTTGAAATCAGTAATACTAAAGTATTATTATTATTACTACTATTATTACTATTTTTTTATCTTTATTAAGTGATTAATTTGTTATAAATACGTTTTTAGTAAAATAATTATATGAATTAATATTAATATAAAATGATTATATCCCAATTAATATTTAACATTATTAAAATACTTATTAATTATCATTAATTAATTAACATTCTGAAATAATAATTATCACCATTAGTACTACTAATAATCATTTATAATTATTGGTAATAATAATAATAATATAATTATATTAACTAATATAATATTATTAATTATATTTACTTATAATAATATAATTAATTATTTCATATAAATGTATGAATTTTAATTTCTAATAATAATTATAATGTAAATAATTAGCATTAAATATTTATATTCAAAATAATCAATATGAGTTAATATAAATATGAAATGATTATTGCCGAATTATTAATTACCATTATGAAAATATTTATTAATTATCATTAATCAATCATCATTTCGAATTAATAATGAGCAATATTGTGTGTAATAAATTATTAGTAATTAAGTATTAGCAGTGATTATTATAAGAAATGATTTTCAATAATTAATTATTATCAGTTAGTAATTATTTTTAGTAATTAATAGCGGGAATTAATTAATTAGAAGTAGTTAACAGTAATTAACAATAATTATTATTATAGATTAATAGTTAAAATTAATTAATTAGAAGTAGTTAACAGTAATTATTATTAGTAACGAATAGCTGAAATTAATTAAATTGTTTAGTAGTTAACATTAATTAATAACATAATTTTCTTTTTTTAGGAAATGATTGAAAGTGAGAGATTCCCATTTCTCACAACTCTACATAGTGGTAGGCTCCACTCTTCATGTTAGTGGGCTCTTTTCTTGAACTACCACTAATCAGAATTTGACACATATCAATTTTGTTTAAATCTTTGGAATGACAGGTGTCTGAATGCAAATGAGCCACATGTAGGGGGTTTTGGCCTGAAATCATTACTTTAATATATATATATATATATATATATATATATATATTAGATTTAACCCAAATAGTGTCCTACATGGCTAATTCTTACTTATTTCAGGGTTGAAACTGGAAACCATAACCATTTTGTTGGTGTAAGGTGGGCCCAAATAAATGGGTGGATATCGATACTAAGGTGGGGCACATCCATTGATCCAAAAACCAGTGGTCATTGGATATTTGGATCATGAGCCTCAGTTTGGAAACCATAACCATTTGTATTTGTACTCCTTCCAAAACTGAGCTTCACTTTCTCCGAATTCTCACTTGTACATGAGTTTTAGTCTAGCATACAGGGAAAAATTGAGGCCTTTGCAATTTGCAGACCTAAACTCAGTAATCGGAATTGGTAATATTGGTTAGGGGTGCTAACCAAACCGTGGGGTATTTTCTTAAACTGAATTGGTAATATTGGTTTTTGGAAAACCAGTAATCGGAACCGAGCTAAAACCAATTGGTTAATCGGTTGACAGGTTCGATTAACCATTGTCGATTTTTAGTTTTTACAATATATATTATAAAAATATAATAAAAATTATTAATATATATAAAATATTATATTTTAAATAATAATTAATAAATAATATATAATATATATAATACACATAAATATAACATAAAATATATATAAATATATGTATACCGATCAATTTGGTTAACCATCGATTTTTTATATTGGTTAACCAAAACCAAACCGGTACCTTTGATTTTTTTAACAACACCGAACTGACTGTTTCTGTTGACCGATTTTTCAGTTCGATTTCGATCGATTTTTTTGGTTCTTTGCTCACCCCTACTCACCGTAAGGGTGCTAACGGGTCAGGCTTTGGGCCAGCTTTCATGTACATTCAGATCCGGACCCTATTGTATAGACCAGTATCAATTTTGATTACAGTAGCTTAGGTGATGTTTAGCATCGATGATGATTCCTTTTTTCCAATTATCCAGAAATTGAAAATCACCAAAAGATATTGTTTGGTATGTTTATGCCATGTAAGTAGTTTGTTTAGTACTGATTCTGAAGGGTGATTGTTTTTCTTTGAAATCATCCTTTTCTTGGAGTCATGTGGGATGCCATGTCATTTTCCAAATATCAGAATCACCGAAAATGGTAATCCTTAAAAATGGACTGGCATGGCACCTTAACCACTTTTATTTATCCCATGTGACTCCGACATGGCACCGATGCCAAACATTACCTTAACCGCTCCAATTCGAAGACATGTCAATGGGTTGGGACTTCATTACCGAACCAATTATATCAGCTCTGGTTATAACTTTTTGTGTTCCAATTAAAATGGAATCGGAACCATTTGTTCTATTCCAACCCAAATAAGATTGAACCCATCATGTAATTAATAATATATAAAGGTATCTTGATATTTTTATAAAAAAAGATAAATTTTTAATTGGATCAGACCCAATTATCCCGATTAATAATTGGTTCAGTTTTAGGTATATTTTATGGAACTTGTTCGTAAATCGTAATCAAGTCGAGACTGAATTATCCTATCCCAAACCAAACCCAACCCATCGACAGCTCTATCGTGAGAGAGGCGCATGTAAATTAAGAGAACAAAAGCAGCAATCTATAGCCTGTTCACCAGCAGTGTTTTCAAAACCATATCCCCATGAAATTAAATCCGGCCAATTTGACATGTCTCAATCAAAATTTTAGCTTAGCAATTTGTTTCTAATCATGATTTTTTGATCAAAGATTAATTAGGGATTTCAGATCAAATCAACCCACTATGGGCCCATAGCAAGGATTTTGATTGTTCAAAATGTCGATACGTATAATATAATATGTAATGGTTTTTGAATCCACCAAAATGCCAAAAGATGGTTTCATTCAAAACTTGAAACCTGAAGCTTTTTAAAAGTATGAGTATCATTCCTTTGAGAGAGATTCAGACAACAAGGAGAAAGCATACAAACAACTTATTTGAGAATACCCTCTTATTTTTTAACTAGAAATAAGAGGGAAATAGTCTGATTTAGTTATTTTTATGTTTCAATTTGATGCTTTTAAGATTCTAAATTTAGCTGATTCAATAAATAAAAATACAAAAAAAAAGGAAAAAAACTCAGAGTCCAGCAGAATTAATTGGGCCACAGAAATGAATGTATGCAACTATTTGGCGATGACACCCAATCCGGGGAACGATTGAACGAGACACACAAATGAAAAAGTAATGTGGGGTGAGAGAGGCTCGAACTCTCGACCTCAGGATAACTCAGAAGCTATGAGACCTACGCGCTAACCAACTGCGCCACCACCCCAACCTGTAAGATTAGCGACTATTTTAATATAAATCCTATATTAATCGCATTAAAAATTCGGTATAAAGAAATGGTCAGCAGGGTTGTCGGATCGTTGGTTAGTTATGACTTATGACCACCACCTCATCTAATCCGTCATCCTGGTCAAGTGGATCCCACCACTTCAACGGTTAAAGACACCCCTCAGAACTGAAAGCCTGAAATAACGATACCCTTTAATTTGTTTCTTAATTTAGTCCTAAACTACTATCACATATATAAACATCCTTGTTTCTTCCCAGATCTCTTCTATCACTCTCTCTATCTTACTAAACTTAAGAAAGAAGAAATAGAAGAAGAATGGAGTTTGCAGCAGTGATGGAGTTGTCAGGACTGCAGAAGCAACGAAGTTCTTACATACCCGAGCTCCCTCTTTGCCTTCAGGTCTGTTGGTTAGGATTTCCCTTGATTTTACACTGTTTTGCTTTTCATTTTATGATCAAAAAGATGTATGCATCCGTTTTAAGGGAATTCTGGTAATCAAGTTAAAGTCTCTACATCAACATTGCCTAGTCTGGTAGCAAAAGGTAGCCTGGTCTGATTTACTATGAAGTGACTACTGATTGCAGAACAAGAACATAATGACTCTTTGTTCATGTGCATCCAAACAGGGTATTAATATTTAAGACTAAGGCTATGGCAGATAAAAAATCCCCACTAATCTTTATAGAGAGAATCTTAATAACTTTCGGCTATGAAAATTAAAATTAGGGGTGTTCATAAAAAATCAAAAAATCAAACCGAATCAATGAAATCCAACTGAAAATTCTGATTAATCAAATAGGTAAATTTGGTTTTCTGTTGAAAAATTGGCTGATTAACCGAATTAACCGGATAGGATAGAATTACTAGGGATGCACATGGGCCAGGCTTGGACCGAACCTTGATATCCTTGTATACCGACTGATTATTAAATGGGTTTAATTTAATAGGCAGGCACAGGCCAGAACCCATGGGCCTAAAGTAATGTACAAAGCTTGGGCAGTGTTTGTCTATTAAAAAGAAAACAAGTATATATAGAGGCAATGCAAGTGCAACATATGTGAGAATATTTTGGTGAGCGTAAATACGTGGGAACTGTTTTAAGCAGCGTTAAGTGTTAAGAACATAGAACCAAAATAGACGATGATAAGATGTATTAGTTTCCTGAGAAACATAATGGAGAAAGCAGTAAAGTTGTTATAAAGAGAGGCTGAACAAATTGAGTTTGTGCTGATATTCGTCAATGAATAAATGAATTAGCAGGGAGCAAGTGTGCAAATCGAGTTTGGTGAACCCACCAAAGTTGCCGACCATTCAGATGCTCATCCAATCCAACGATCTTTTCCTCTAACATACGGGCAGCCGCTGCTTCATTTCTTGACAAAGCCTAGTAAACTCCCTGATTCACATGACACCAAGGAGCATCCAGTTATGAGGTAAAAAATTAAGTAAAGCAATGAATAAGATCCTATAGTATTGGATGCTGAGCATGGTTTTTAAAACCGGATCAGACCAGATAGTTGAACCGAAAAAACCGAGAATTGGTCAGGTGATCAGTTCTGTTTTACTCTAGAATTGTTATTTCGCTAAAAACCATTGATTTGGTCAGCAAACTGCTGACCTGGGCGGTGAACCATTCAACGGTTTGGTTGTTTTTTATTTTTTTTTAAATTAATTTTTTTTGTCAGAACAGACCGTCCATTCAATTTAAAAGGTCAGACTATTTAACTTGGGAACTAGACCCCTGACCAATTCATTGTCCGATTTGGTTTTACAAACCTTGGCTGAGAGATTGAATGTATTGTACCAATTGTCTTTGCGAGATGGAGTCCTCACCTGGAAATCCTACCAGCAGAGCAGCCCAAATTTTGGATCAATTTGGGAGGGCTGAGCTGAAGATAAGCATTGGTTCAGATGCTTTGAATAAACTGATTCAGCAAAGCTGTTATATTTGTTGGCAACTGGCTTTTAATTAGCTGTCTACTAATTAATCTTGACAATAGCACCCCATTTGAGAGGTCTGAGCTAAAGATCCAGCTAAAACTGTTTCTGCTGCTTTGAAGCACTCCTGATAGACCATATTTCAAGGGGCTGAAGTGGACAGCCCTGACTGAAAGTTGATTAGGCTTGCTGAATTTTTGACCAAACATTGGTTGTAGGTGTCCATGTGGGATCTATCTTTGGAAAACCAGAAGCCACTGCCCAAATGGGCACAAACTATTCAAAGAGACTGAAGCCCTCCCACTCCCACGGACAGCCCTTCAATTGACTGATCAACGGCAAAGCTTAAGCACTCGCAAATGGGTCCCATGAAAAATGGTATTTTCACATATCAAAGTTTGAAAAACTCTGTAAATGTGGCATGTTCGGGTTATGTACGTAGCCTATTTGAAGCTCCTAATAAAGGGAATAGCACTTGGCCAATGTAATGGTTTTGTTTTCTTGAAACAAAAAGAACTCCACATCCAAAACTGCCATATCAACAATGGCAGTTGTTCACTTTTTCTGCTTTAAGAAAACAAAACCATTCACATTAGTCTTTCACTTTTTTTTCTACCCCATCAGCTTATCACTAGTGTTACTTAAAACACTACAGGATTGGAGTTATTTTCTGTGGACGCCAATCTCCAGGAGGACATAATATTGTATGTGGACTTCATGATGCTATCAAGTCTCACAACCCCAAGAGTACATTGCTTGGATTTTGTGGTGTGTATCGACTCTCTCTCTCTCTCTGTTATTTGTCTATTCACGTTCTAAACAATATCTTTCTTTTCCATTCACCAAATTTCCTACTAAATTGAATTTTGGTTTGGAATCATTTTCCACGTATGAATACTCTTTTTGTTGTAATTAGATTTTATTGTCTCTAATATGATTAAATTTAATTACTTGCGGTTCATGTTCAAAGCCACTTTACATCAAAACAAACTTACAACTGTAAATATTAGCGAGTATAATATATATTAATAATATGTAAATTGGATGCGTCTGACAAATCAAATCAACGTTTGTGCAAACCAGGCAACCTAAAGGCCATATTTGTTACCAGCATAGAGAATTACATACCACTGGCATTGTGTAGCAACATCAGTTTGTCGCATAAGACCTAAAAGTTGATTTCAGTGTTAATTTGTATCTCACCAGCTTAGGTTTCTTTATGTTTTTCTGGTTCAGTATCTAATTTCGTCTGCTTCCATCTCTCATCATTTGTTTAAGTGTTTTTAAATTGGCTTTGTGTTTGGAGACATTTCTCGTTCAAAAGTACTTGAACTGTCTGTTAGCATTCTTATTTAATTCTCTCATTAGTAATCTATTCATTTAGTTGTGATAATCTCATATATAGCTGTACCATCCTTCTTAATGACTTACTTATACTTGTTGTTGGAACAGGGGGTACTGAAGGATTATTTTCTCAGAAAACTATAGAAATCACAGAAGATATTGTTTTGTCATATCGTAATCAGGGTAAGCCTGAAGCAACTTCAAGTGAAATGTTAACCAATAATGGGTGTTATATCCACGGATAGAAATTTTTGATCTTACTGCTTTTCTTTTCTGTTATGTTTATCATAATATAGTTATTACTTGATTCTAGTCTACTTGTCAATGCTTCTCCTAATCGAGGATTGTGAAGTAATTAATAGTTCAAATCTGATCTGAACCAAAATTAAGTTCCCTTCACAAAAATAATCCCCTCTACTCTGTGTTTGTGGGCGAATCTGTTGACATAGATGCCACCCAAAACATGAGATATGGCTGTTTGATTGAGCTTGTCTGAGTAACCCCATAAGCTGGTCCACTTACCACCAGTCATTTACATGCCTTATCAGCTCAAGACACCTCCAAACTCTATCAGTATCCACTACTCAGTAATCTCTTCATTGCAGCTTCTATCATCTCCCATGCCATTTTGAAGTCAGCATGGATTTCCATATGAAAACATCTAAATCTTGCTTTAAGGTGGCTTCTGTGCGACATTAATGGTCCAATCTTTTTTCCAAGTACTAGTTCATTCCCTTCCTCTGTTATCTATGTATGTGTCAGTTGTCCTATACATGTTTAAGTTAGATGACTAAAAGATGCAATCTCAAATTTTACTCTTTAAATTATTTTATTGTTTGTGCTCAAGCTGAGTTGACATATCTTTTTTTTTTTTTTTTTAATTTATAACTCAATCTGTTACTTGTAAAGGTGGTTATGGCATGCTGGGTAGAACAAAGGATCAGATCAGAACAAGTGAACAAGTAAAAGCGGCATTGGATGCTTGTGAAGCATTGAAGTTAGATGGGCTTGTGATCGTTGGAGGTAAGTACAATTTATCTCAATGGAATTACTAAAGCAAGAAAAGTTACCAAATTCGAGTCTTATGTTTCTCTCGTTTACCTTTTTTGGTGAAGGGATTATATCTAATACTGATGCAGCTCAACTTGCTGAGACATTTGCCGTAGCAAAATGCCGAACAAAGGTATTTGTGACATTTCTGGTTGTTTGAAAACAGCTAATATCTGTTAAACATTATTTCCATTGGGAGAACTGGTATCTCAATATGTTCTACATTTTTTTTTATAATGTTAAGACTTCTGTTTTATGTCTTTATAATGTTTATATCAAATGGAATACCTAAAACATTAGCATCTGCCAACAATAAGAAAGGCAATATGTCTCTTCATATCTTTCTATATAACTAATTTTGAGTGGCTTACATTATTACTTTTGATCTTGATTGTTTGAGTTTTTCCTGGAAAAGAGTTTTTAAATGTTTAGGTTATCTAAATCAATAGGGATACTTAAAGACTTGGAATACTTTTGATTGATTTTCTAGGTATCAGATCATCTGAGAGAAGATTCTCTCTACAACAACTAGAAAGCCTGTCCTGGAACTTGTAAAGACATTTTAATACCCTATGAAATTTTAAGGCCTTCTAAGCTCTCTCTGTCTCTCTTTTCTTATGCAATATTGTATTTACATGATATTCTATACTAATAACTTTAATTGTAAAATTAGATTTACTGAAATGACTCAACTATGTTAGGCACAACTCACAAAAAATGTGCTGAATTTCTTCAGATTACTGAGTTTATTTTCTTCTTGTCTGACAGGTAGTTGGTGTTCCTGTTACCATATATGGGGATCTGAAGAATCAGTTTGTTGAAGCAAATGTTGGATTTGATACAACCTGCAAGGTATATGATCAATGCCAATTTCTTCTTTTGACACATACAGAACAAACAAAGTTGACATGAAGGCATAGAAAAAATGGCCAAAACAATTACCAAAAATTATATTTAATGCCCTTGGTTTTACTCTTGTTTACATGGTGATAAAAATTATTTCATGGAAATATTCTTGTCTTCTATGAGACAGTCTTTGAATGAGTGCACCCCCTTTATCAAAATTTGGATCCCCAAGCTTATTGTTTTACCATACTGATAGGTCCATATCTAGACTACCCATCCTAAAGACACATATAGAAAGGACTAGAGCTCTAAGTAATTTCCTTCTTAGAAAATATAAATCCAAATAAGGCATGGTTTAGGATTTATGAAAGAAGTAGCTATGAAGATTTTAGAAAACCATGGACAGAAATTTGGTCAAGGATTCAGAAGACTACAGTTTAGGGTATAATTCTTTAGCCACAAAAGTAAATACCTTAGTTCGGAAACTGATATTAGAGGAACGAACAAGCTTCAAGTTGATGACATAACAAGTCAAGGAAGAAAAAGGAAAGTTCTGCAGTCAAATAGATTTCTTTCATTCAAATAGACTCACAGAATACATCAATCAATCCCCCTTCTCCATATTTATCAACACTTTTAAAAATTAAAAAAAAATACAAGTTGAAGATATTTGAAGACAGAACATTCTCTGATTGTTATCCTGTTCTAGATAGAATTATTCTAATTTCAAAATATCCAAAAACTACTCTTCACTGCATGAACTACAATTGAAATAATAATCTTAATAAAGCATCCTCATCTAATGCAATTAAGAGTCAATTCTAGTTTTTTCTTCTAAGTTGGAGTTTGCAAAGGGAGTTACGAGCCCTTATTTCTATAGTCTATAAGTAGAGTCATTGTGATTGAATTTTTAGAACAAAAACAATTTAATGAAATTTTTTGAGGCTTGTAAAGCATGCGTGATGTCCAGAATTTGTTTTATCGAATGTTTTTTGTCATTCTCTCTCTCCCCCCCAATAAAATCCTTACCACATTTCCCCCTATACCATATTTAATTTTTTTCTTACCCACCTCATACACTAGTAGGACTTACCTCTCTTGTCTATGCAACCTATTCAAGAACCAAAACAACTGCTGCTAGGCCAACTTTTGGGATCAATTTCCAGGCCCATATGACTGAAAAAGAAATTTTGTGGTCTAGCTCCTTTCTGATATATATTTCTTGGGCTACACAATTATGTTAGGCAAAACTTGAAGTAGTTGATCAAGACTACAGTCAGTCTTGAATCCAAAAAGGTTTTGGATGGAGAAAAGAAGAAGAAGAAAAGAAGGAGAAAAGGAGGAGAAGCAGAAGTACACAAGGGTTTAGAAAGGAGAGGGATAGATAGATTGAATCTGCCGCCCCACTCTTAATATTTATATGTTATGTTCACTAATTGTAGGAAAAGGCAGAATTGCCCTTAATGCTTACATGGCAAATAAAACAATAATAAGCTGAAATAACAAGCTGTCTGAAATAACTATCAACTAACACTGATATAACTAACAAAGATTACATGTGCTGTCATACGAACACAGTGGGGTCCACAGCCGTGGGGCCCACATCATTGTTCTCTACACTCCCCCTCAAGTTGGGAATAGATATTTGTCATTCCCAACTTGCATAGGTTTGCCTCTAGCTTCTTCCTTGGAACAACCTTGGTGAGAAGATCTGCGAGCTGCATGTTGGAGGTGATATACGGGAGACACACTTCTTGAGATGAGACCCTTTCTCTGACAAAATGTCGATCAAGTTCCATGTGTTTAGTTCTGCCATGCTGCACCGGATTGTGAGCTATATTAATAGCTGCCTGATTATCACAATACAGCATTAAGGGCTTCTCATAATCAATACCCAACTCTTCAAGTAGTGACTTCAGCCATAAGATTTCAGCCACTCCATTAGCCATCGATCTGTATTCAGCTTCAGCACTAGAGCGAGAAACAACACTTTGTTTCTTACTCCTCCAAGAAACAAGGTTACCTCCTACAAAGGCACAATATCCAGAGGTAGACCTCCTGTCATCAGCACTCCCAGCCCAATCAACATCTGTATAGACCTCGACCTTCATGTGATCATTATTCTTGAACAATATACCTCTACTTGGACATCTCTTCAAGTATGCTAATATTCTCTCAACTGCAAGGAGATGAGTAGTCCTAGGGGAATGCATGTACTGGCTGATAACACTGACTGAATAACTGATGTCTAGTCGTGTGAAACAAAGATATAGGAGTTTTCCAACCAACTGTTGGAACATAGCTTTGTCTTCAAAAGGCTCTCCACCCTTTGCACTGATCTTGTGATTCTGTTCAATGGGTGTATTTGCAGGCTTGACACCTAACTTTCCAGTTTCTGCTAACAGATCTAGAACATACTTCCTTTGAGAAATAAAGATCACATGTTTAGATCTAGTAACCTCAATACCCAAAAAGTATCGTAGTGCACCAAGATTTTTCACCTCAAACTCTTGATGAAGGAGTCATTTGAGGGACTCAATCTCACTATTATCATTCCCTATCACTACAATATCATCCACATATACAACAAGCAAGGTTAAAGAAGAGTTTACTCTTTTAACGAACAATGTATGGTCTAATTGGGCCTGTACCTAGCCGAATTTTCCAAGGACTAGTCTGAATCTATCAAACCAAGCTCTGGGGGACTGCTTTAGTCCATACAATGCTTTATTCAGTCGGCAAACCTTCTTACCTGTCTTTGCAACATTAAATCCAGGGGGTAATTGCATGTAGACTTCTTCCTGTAAGTCTCCATTCAGAAAGGCATTTTTAACATCCATTTTTAACACCCATTCAATTTCCGCAATAGGGTCTGCACGCAAGGGACCATAACAATGTGGTGCAACACCGTTTCCCTTTACGGACTGCAATGGGGAGGTCAAGGTCATCCGAAGGAAGGGAAGTAGCAACAGTGGAAGGTATCTCAGTGAGACCTGGATCTGATAAGGGGATTGTAGTACCTGGATCTGGATCCACAGAAGGAACTGGGGCTGGCCTGGACTGCTGATGACCGAAATCAACCTGCCTCCACCGCCTGTGATAGACTTTTAACTCCTGACACCTCTGATAACCCTCCCCATTACAGCCCTCATCACTCAATGGAATGGGTAAAGGAACCTCAGATGAGTTAACCCCACTCTCACTGCTCTCCCCCTGAGGAAAAAGGCCCAAATTCTCACTACTCTCCCCCTGAGGAGAAACCCTAGGGTAATAGGGTACCTCCTCAAAGAAAGTGACATCCATCGAGACAAATCTTCTCCCAGAAATAGGTTCATAGTAGCAATAACCCTTTTGAGTTTGTGCATAACCGAGAAAAATGCATTTGGAGGCCTTAGGGTCAAATTTGGAATGATGGGGGCCAAGAATCTGAACAAAGCAGGTGCAACCAAAGGTTTTAAGGGGAACAGTAAATAATTCCTCATATGGGTATAGAAGGGTAAACGGAGGCTTCATGTCCAGAACCCGTGAGGAAACCCGATTAATGAGATACACTTCCGTGAGAATAGCATCGCCTTAGAAATGGATAGGCACATTGGAGGTAAACATAATGCTTCTAGCCACCTCCAAAATGTGTCTATTATTCCTCTCGGCAACCCCATTCTGCTGTGTTGTATAAGGACAAGTGCTCTAGTGAATAACCCCATGATCGAGTAGATAAGAGGCCAGTGGCTTGGCAAAGTATTCTTTCGCATTATCAGATCTGAGGATTTTGATTTTGACCCCGAACTGGGTTAAAATCATCTGATGAAAGGTCTGGGTCAGAGCAGAAACCTCATCTCGAGAACGCATAAGGTAAACCCAAGAAAAACGGGTGTAGTCATCAACAAACAACAGGAATTATTTGTACCCTCCCACAGATGGGATGTGATACGGGCCCCAAACATCGGTGTGCACAACATCAAAAGAATTACTACTTCTTTTATAACTCAAGGAATAAGATGTTTTACAATGCTTTGCAAGCTCACAACTCTCACATCTCAAATTTGACATCTCAACAGACTCAAACAAATTAGGAAACAAACTCTTCAAAGACCGAAATGATAAATGACCTAACCAATTATGCCAAAGCATAACCGGACTCACAGACTGAGAAACAAAAGATTTCTTATCCACATGTTCTTTCCAATGAGAACTCTCTTGAAGCAGATAGATCCCATTCGTCTCACAGCCAGTTCCAATCACCTTCCTCGTCTCCAAATCCTGAAAAGCACATCGGTCAGGGAAAAAGGTTACTGAACAATTCTGGTGTTTTGTAATACTACTGACTGAAAGTAAATCAGTATCAAGTTTAGGAACATGCAAGACTGAGGATAAGGAGATAGTATCAGACAACTTGATGTCTCCCTTACCAAAAATGGGAACAAGGGAACCATCAGCAATGGATACTTTATCTCTACCAGAAGATAAGTGATAGGTAGTGAACAGTGATGGCAAGCTAGTCATATGGTCAAATGCACCTGAGTCTATTACCCAACAATGTTCAGTGTTACTTGGAACTGAAGCATGGTAAGCTGAGGCCTGAGTACCTGAATGAGCAAAGGCTGATGTGGCAGGGGCTGATGATGACTGAGATGACTGAGCTGAATTCCCAACCTCCTTTTCCAACTGTATTAGTGCAGCCCGAACAGCAGCTAAGGTGTCTAGGGGCATGCCTTTTGTGCCCGATGAGGATGCGGAATTGGTATTAACAGCCATATGAGCATTACCCCTTTTGTTCCGTAGTTTTGCTGGAACTAAATGAGGGTGCAACTTCCAACATGTATCTTTAGTATGCTTGGGTTTCTTGCAATGTTCATGAAAGAATGGTAGGATCCATCTAATGGACGCCATAAAGGTTGCGGAATGGGTGGGGCGAATTTCAAAAATTTCCTACCTTCTCCCAACTGGGAATCATATTCCCTGAATTTAGAATACAATATTCAAGGATCTACTTGAACCCTAA